GCCATCTACTGATGGAAATTAAAATTAACATACATAAAATATGTCAATGTTTTAAAATTATAAAATTTAATTAAATAAAACTTATTATGTTATTTTTAATTTTAAAAATGTAATAAATGTATTTTTATTTTAATCGACTTTACTAAAAAAATAAAAATAATATTAACAATATATTCTGGTACTTTGAAACCGTGCTAGTAGTTATTAGTAGTAATTTGATGAAATTTGATGATAAAAATTGCCAAGTGCCTGAAAATAAATACAATAATAATTTGTGTTTGAATTACTACAATTAATAATATAATTAAAAAAACTATTAATATTTAAATTTTCAAACAATAAGTTAATATTTTATGTAAATTATTAAATTATTTGTTAATTTTAAGATAAATCAATTTTGAAAATATGCATTTTATTTAGTTTTAAAATTAATGTTATAATTTTCCACGCTAGATGGCAGCATTATGGATTTTTATAATTTTGATCTAATTTTCTATTGACAATTTTTTTTTTAAATAAATTTTCGAGTTAAGTTTATTATAATTAGATATTAGTTGATCTTAATTAAAATTATTACTAATAAGCTAATTTCTATGACATATGGCGTCCGATAGACGAAAAGAATTCATATAAAAATTAACTATTTTATATTTAACCAGAAAGTGGATAAATACAATTATGTTAATGAATATCCTGTTAAAGTTGCACGGTCTCCCTAATAAAGAAGACTAATATGGCGTTGAGTGAAAGGGAGAGCACTCGCTAAAGGGAGCGAGAGAGAGAGAGTAGCTTCACAATCACCCAATCAGAAACGCCCCACCGCCACATAGAGCGGTAATTTGGTGCTAACATCGACGAGTCTGTGCATTGTCAGGCCAGCTGTGTTGTTGGTCACGGCTAATTGGTGTGTTTAATGCACTCCGAGAGCCTCTTATTTCTCTCCTCCATCCCAATCTCTCCCCCCACTTCAGCTCGCTCGCCTGGAAGCCCTAATCGAACGGGCCACTAATCGCATCAATCTAGCAACCTTAATAGAGGGCTTAGTTTCGCTTCTCTCCCACGTGACGCTCTACTGGTCAACGCGACATGGCGACGTAATGTGATTGTCCTGTCTGAAGCTGGACTTTTACCCTCCCGAAACTTCCACCCTCCCTCTTTTCAGCTGCAAACACGGCTTTACTGTATCCCTTGATCCTTTAATTTTAGAGATTTGCAGTTATATCCGGATAATTTTCTTTGGTAATACAATCTTTCGTAATTATTTCACTTAAGATATCACCAAGAGAAAGGAGAAGACGAAAGAAAAACGTCGTACAGTTCTTTATTTTATTTATTTTTTTTTTTTTTTACGATTCCTAAATGGAAATGAATCGAGACAATGCGAGAGTGAATGAAATCAAATCAGTCGTTTTTCCCCTGTAAAGTTGTCTCCACCTCCACGCGCCGCTGCTCTGCCGGAAAGAGACAATCAGAGTAATTCAATGGACGCATG